AGTACGGACCTGCTCGAACTCTCGGAACACGTAAAACAACAATGAAACTAAGAATCACACCCCAAAACCAAATTGATTCAACTTATAAACTTCCAACTTCTCAACTAACTCTGAACGCGTCGAAACATACTTAGACTACTCGGAATGACTCTAAATTTTATGTGCAAGTCTTAAATCACCATACAGAACTATTTACATGCTCGGAATCCCAAAAGGACCTCAATAATACCAAAACCTACTCCAAACCAAACTTAAAGAACTTGAAAACCTTCAATATTAAGCGCATAAACGCTCCCTGGTTATCCGAAATCCGATCCGAATATACGCCCAAGTTCAAATCATCATACGAACCTATTGGGACCGTCAAATTCCGGTTCCGAGGTCGTTTACTCAAAATGTTGACTCAAGTCAAACTTAACCCTTTTAAGCCAATATTAAGGAACTAAGTGTTCCGAATTCAACCAGAACCCTTCCAAACCCGAACTAACCATCCCCTCAAGTCATAACATAGTAAAATCACATACGGGGAGTCTTAATTAGGGAAACATGATCTAGAAAGTAAAACGACCAGTCGGGTCGTTACACTAGCACACTTATTGTACCCTTCTTGGACATCAAGTACGTCATTTTCATGTTATAAAAATGTGACTTTATGTAGGACTTCATGGGCTGCAAGTTTGGACACATTTTAGGTGCCAAATTGGTTTAAAAGCGGACCGGTTAGGACCTTATTCAAAGGATGTCTTTTGAGATTCAATACTCCTCTTCTTGGACATAAATTAGAGCCATAAAACAATTGTAATACCTAACCAATTCAAATCATTTATCCTTGAACTCTTTTTCCCAATTAACAACTTTTTTATTTGCACTTGAAGTCTAATGACCTTGTTTTGTAACTTTTTAGCTTGACATCTTGTTAAAGGCCCTCTTTGAGATTCCAAAGCTTTATCCTTTCCCTTGAATAAATAAAGTAATCAACAAACAACTTTTCATATTTATCTATTTCTTATATTTGTCTATAATTATATTATTTTAAAAGCACGAAACCGATACATAATAAATTAATAAATTTTTTACGCTTTGACAATATTCTCTATGTCAGACAAAATAGTAATTATGATTAATATAATTAATTTGATTTCTTCTTAAAAGGTATTTTAATGCTAACTAATATTTAAGAAATTAAAGTCAACTAAAGATGGCTACTCCAAAAGTCTTGGTAAAATAGCACAATCTTGGCATTGTTTGAATTTTTTTTAAAATTAACAACTTGCCAAGAAGTTTGTATCATGTGAGAACCTTAAGTTGGTGAGAATTATTCATAAACTAATATTTTATTTTCCAATAAAAGCAATTATAGCATATATAATTACGTAATTACTCAATGATTGCTTGTTAAGATTTTAAGGCGGTGTTTCCTTAAAAACGAAATGAATGAATTCAGAAACCAAAATCAATTAATTAGGCCGCATATATGAATGAGTACGCTCACATAATGTTAAAATCTATTGATGGAGAATTTAGAGATGAAAATTTTCATAATAAAAAATTTAAGATTTAAAAAGTAACCTGTATATAGGAATTACCACCCTCTACCCCTGCAAAAAAATATGTTTTCGAAAAAATATATTTTTGATAAATGATTTTTTAATTTTTTTTTAAACCTCTTCATTATTTGTATATCGACTGATATTTTTATTTTTATGTGGCAATTTCTTCCCTTATAAATTAATATGTTGGATTAATATTTCTCAATTTTAGGAACATAAAATTTTATTTATAATAACTAAAATATAATTTTTTAATATAATATTAATATGATTAATATTTTTTAAAAAAAACAACCCACGTCCTAAGACTAAACTCTATTTTATCAAGCCTGTAGCGAACTGGAATTTGCACATTCTCAATCTTATTACTCTCTTCGTTTTAATTTATGTGAACCTATTTGATTGTGAACGAAATTTAAGAAAACTGAAAAGATAAGAAAATAGAGTTTAACATATATTTTGTATGATTATAAATAATTGCATAAAAGTAAATTATTTTTAAATATAAAAAGAGGTCATTTTTTTTTTTACGCACACGTTTGACAACGTTGAGAAGTTTTGTGGGCCATGTGATGACACGTCGCGTTCTAATTGATTAGCATGGCATCTTCAGTGGGCCCAACCAAATAAATAATTTATTGTGAAGACTTTGGATTTCGGACCCACTTTACTGCAGAGTTTTTGTTCCGTCAAGTTGACTTTGATTATGTTCCTCTCCTCTCTCTCTCTCCCGCAACTCCTCGCCCCCTCCGGCGAAATCGGAGTCCGGAACCAAAATGTGATTTTTTGGACTCAAACAATCGAAATGTGTGAAAAAAAGAGATGATAACCAAAATATGTATAACGCCCTTTAAAGGAGCGTTATACTTGAATTTGAAAAGACGGAAAGTATAGCACCGTTTATTAATGCAATATACATATTTTGTGGGCCCACAAATAATTCTTCTTGACTTAACTGACATAACAATAATTCAACTAGGTATAGTGCCCTTATTTAAGACACTATACCTAAAAAATTGTACACAAGACTGCTTTTTTGCCCTATTTAAGGAGGTTAAGAATTTTTTAAAAATCCATTCATAAATATTCTCAAGTCTTCTGAAATATTTCTTTGTTAAGTTATTTTGTATTTAGTCATAATGTCTCAAGAGCGAAAAGTAAGTGTTTCATTATATTGGGGGGAGGGGGGAAGGGTGAGGTTGTGTGGAGAATAACTCAGTAACCTGTAGTTTATCTCCACTGTGTCATGTTAAGTTGCCACTTACAATGGAGTACGATAAATTGGTATCGTTTTTATGTAAACAAATGAGTGTGAGCAAACGTTCGGTGAACCTTAAAGTAATCGGAAGATATCCGTATTTTGTCATTCCGCAAGGGGTTGCTTGTTATGCTGAGTTTAACATTGAGGACGATGAAACTCTGAGAGATTTTTTGAGGACTCCGTATGAATACCAGAAATTTCTTGTGATAAAAATGTTAGAAATGTACATCAAGGTTGAAGACGTTCGCAATAATGAGGTTGCACAAAGTAGGGATATCCCTCAGTCATCGGGTGGTTATTTTGGAGCAGTTTTAGCCGAACAGGTTTCGGCTGAAAGAGTTTGGCCTCATCTAAACTTATATCCACGGGCAAATGAGCAGCGAGAAAATAATTTCTCTCCTAGTTTACATAATCCACAAGACGAGTGGTAAACTTCAATTTTCCTTTGTGTTACGATGTTTATTTTTGCTGTATTGAATTTGTATTAGCACTCATATATTCCACAGGGGTACCGGCCAGATATGAATTTTACAAGTTATGAACCAACGCCCAGTTGGAATATGCCTAGTTTTGGTGTGTTGGATCATGGTGGTCCATCCGAGAGTCATCACCAATAGGATAATGTCCATCATGGGATGTCAACATATTACGATTTGTAAGTGAAGTGATATAGCTATATATAAAGTATTTATCAATTTGAGTAACTCATTATTTTGTTGGTTGTGCAGTGAAAACGAGCATCCTGAAGGTCCTGTCCTTACTCAATTGCCCCGAAGACGACATATTTAATCGGGATCTGGCACATGCACAGAGTGAGGAAGAGAATAGTGATTATGACAACAATATCGATGAGTCTGGAGATGACACACCCTTCCCTGATGAGGATGATGATGAGAAGGAAGAGAATGTTGGACCTAATTTGACGAGGGAGCATGCTCCCCCCCAGTTAGACCAAGAGTGTACGAATCCCACGTGTCGTTTCATTCAAGGGAGATTCTCTACCTTGATTATTTGCCAAGTATGCCGGATGTGGATGCCCTCACAATGGATATTGACGAAATTCGGACGCAATGTGGGATGAATCTAGAGCAATGTGCTGTCAAAGGGAATGCTTTTTCCCGATAAAATGCGCCTAACCAAGGCGGTTCTAATGTACAGCGTAAAAGCAATTATAGCATATATATAATTACGTAATTACTCAATGATTGCTTGTTAAAATTTTAAGGCGGTGTCAATGATTGCTTGTTAAAATTTTAAGGCGGTGTCAATGATTGCTTGTTAAAATTTTAAGGCGGTGTTTCCTTAAAAACGAAATGAATGAATTCAGAAACCAAACTCAATTAATTAGGCCGCATATATGAACGAGTACGCTCACATAATGTGAAAACCTATTGATGTAGAATTTAGAGATGAAAATTTTCATAATAAAAAATTTAAGATTTAAAAAGTAACCTGCATATAGGAATTACCATACCCTCTACCCCTGCAAAAAAAATATGTTTTCGAAAAAATATATTTTTGATAAATTATCTTTTTATTTTTTTTAAACCACTTCATTATTTGTATATCGGCTGATATTTTTATTTTTATGTGGCAATTTATTCCCTTATAAATTAATATGTAGGATTAATATTTCTAAATTTTAGGAACATAAAATTTTATTTATAATATTTTAATATAATATTAATATGATTATATTTTTTTAGAAAAAACAACCCACGTCATAAGACTAGTAATGTAAAGATTTTGGGCATAAAACTTAAACTCTATTTTATCAAGCCCGCAGCGAACTGGAATTTGCATATTCTCAATCTTATTAGTTTCTTCGTTTTAATTTATGTGAACCTATTTGATTGGGCACGAAATTTAAGAAAATTAAAAAAATAAAAAAAAATAAAATTTAATATATATTTTATGTGACTATAAATTATTAAATAAAAATAAATTATTTTTAAATATAAAAAGAATTTTTTTTTTTTTTAGGCAGACTAAAAATGAAATAAGTTTGAAACGGCTAGTATCATATTCAAGGAACGGTGTTCTTTTGCCACGTTGTGCCACGTTTGAAAATGTGGAGAAGTTTTGTGGGCCATGTGATGATATGTCGCGTTCTAATTGATTAACATGGCATCATCAGTGGGCCCAACCAAATAAACAATTTATTGTGAAGATTTTGGACTTCGGACCCACTTTACTGCAGGGTTTTTTTTCCGTCAAGTTGACTTTGATTTTGTTCCTCTCTCTCTCTCTGCGGCGACTCCTCGCGACCTCCGGCGAAATCGTATCTGTAAGTTGTCGTTTTGTCTCTTTCGTCATCTCTCTCCCTCTCTAAATGGATTACCTCATTTACAGCACTCTTTGTTTTTTCACTTTTTTTGGCAAATAGATCAATCCTCTGTTGTTTACTGTTTCTAATTGCATTGCACTGCGTACCGAAAGCCTGAACTCCCATTTTTACAGTTCTTTGTGATGTATTGTTACTGTTTGTGTCCAAGTGAAAAACTGAAAATGGCTTAGAACTTCTGTATTGAAAAAGGAATAATAAAATTAGCCCTGCTTGAGTGTGGAATTTTATTCCCTTTTTGGTTTCCTCGAGTTGAGAAAAATATTTGACTAAATTAGTCAAGGTGCGCCAGCTTGGGCTGGACACGACAGTTACAAAAAGAAAATATATATTTGACTAAAAGTTTCGAATATATTTTGTCGTAATGTTTTAATCTTATTATCAAGCTAAAGTTTTTTATTTTCAGCAACTGACATAATTTAAAAATGATGAAGATGAAAAAGGTCAAATTGACACTCGAAAAGTGAAAAAAAAAAGATTTATTTTGGAAAGGAGCTGCCTCTGAAATGGTGTCTAAAATATAAGCGCAAGAGCAGTTTCAAAAGCTCCAGTCTCAAAAAGGGCCCGTGGCCATAATAAATGTAATATTATTTTAGATAGTAAACTCATGAAACCGTGCCATTTTAAAGTCTTGATCTCTTATACTGTTCTTGTTATTATTATTGTTATTGTTAGGGAGGCCTGAAAATGTATGTCCTTAAAATGTTGTTAGGTGTTTGCAGACATTGTAATATTAGTCTAAGACTGGATTCTAGCTTAAACAGTACGACAATAGTACAGGTAATTATCATTAAAACACTGTGAATATCATAATGATTGCATTACTCTAGTGTATAATTCAATTTATGTTAGTGCACATGATAAATGTCTAAACGCCTAACTGAGCAGTCAAAGATTTTTTTTAAAAAAAAACATAGGAAACTCTTATGGTATTCAGGTTTATTGTAGGAACAACAGAATCAAAATAATCCCGCACATTATTTAAAGAGGAGAAAATGGAAAGAAAATTTTAAGTAGGTGAGATGTTAAATCAATAACTCCCCTTATATCCTATTTGAGCGATACAATTTGACTCAACAAAGATCTATAATTTGTTTCACTTGTGAATGTTTCTCGGGTGTTAAAATATTAGTAAGTGGACTTTGGTAATATTAATGAGTTGTGTGTTCATGTTCTCTGCTTTAAAAACTATATATGAACGAACAACAAGGTGTTTGAATAATTATTTTCCTTTTCCATGTCTAAAACGTCAATAAAGCAATTACCTGGTTTTGAAACACTATTCATGTGATCTTTAGTGGCTTGAAGACAACCTGAGAAAAGGAGTGAAATGAGATTCAGGCTTCAGCAATAATGATTGTATTTTTTCAATACACAGATAGCAGAGAGCAAAGCTCATACAACGATTTTGTTCTCTTCTAATTCTTTTAAATATGAACAGTGCAAGATCATTGTTTGTTGATTTGTGTAACATAAAGACGCAACAAATATTAAACTGCATCATAAATTGGGATGGACAAAGAGCAGTTGACAACCTAAAAAGAAAAGCAGTGTGAAGCCATTTGAACAAAAGTTTCTTCTCTGATTGTTCAGTATCGGTCAGCCAATTCTAACTTGAGTGGAGATAGATGAATTTTTAATTGCATTTAGCTCTATGACAATGTTTTGTCCTTTTAGTCTAGGCATATCCTGCCTATGTCCTCTGCTGCCTATTTGTTGATGGAATCATATGTCCATTTTTAGTAGGTGTTCTAAAATTTCTTTGCTTTGATGGATGTCACCAATAGACCTATTTAGTATTTATCAAAGTCAGGTAGGTTTACCAAACTCCCATTTATCATGTCACTTGCATGATTCTCTAATTAATGTCCTCCTTTCTTATTTCTTTGTCTTAGATTATTTTGTAAGAAGGTTTTTGTCGGGTGATGAAGTTAGATTGCAAGATGAAATCAACCTTAATTTGTTCTTGGAACATCATAATTTCATCCTTTGTCAGAGTTCTGTATCAACCATCTATATTTGTATATCTTTCAGGTTTTAAGCCACACAAAAAAAAGGTTAAAACATTGTAACAGAGAACTTAAGAAGCATTTGAAGGTACCTTTAACTGGAAAAAAAGAGAAATGCCTTCACAGAAGATTGAAAGTGGGCATACGGACACGGTGCATGATGTGACAATGGATTACTATGGTAAGCGTCTGGCAACAGCTTCTTCAGACTGCACCATTAAGATAACAGGGGTTAGCAGCTCGTCCTCGCAGCAACTGGCTACTTTGAGTGGTCACCAAGGACCAGTGTGGCAAGTAGCTTGGGCTCACCCTAAGTTTGGGTCAATCCTCGCTTCCTGTTCTTCTGATGGGAAGATAATTATTTGGAAGGAAGGTGCTCAAAATGAGTGGAGTTTAGCACATGTTTTTGATGACCATAAAGCTTCAGTCAATTCCATAGCTTGGGCTCCTCATGAGTTGGGCCTTTGTTTGGCTTGTGGATCTTCTGATGGGAACATTTCGGTTTTCACTGCAAGATCAGATGGTGGTTGGGAGACATCACGGATCGATCAGGCCCATCCTGTTGGTGTTACATCTGTTTCCTGGGCGCCATCAATGGCTACTGGCTCTCTTGTAGGCTCTGATATGCTTACTCCTGTTCAGAAGCTTGCTTCTGGTGGCTGTGACAATACGGTTAAAGTGTGGAAGCTGTTTAATGGAACGTGGAAAATGGATTGCTTCCCGGCTCTTCAAATGCACACTGATTGGGTCAGGGACGTCGCGTGGGCCCCTAACCTGGGACTGCCAAAATCAACTATCGCGAGTGCTTCTGAAGATGGAAGAGTAATTATATGGACCGTGGGTAAGGAAGGTGATCAATGGAAGGGTAATGTGTTGAAGGATTTTGGTTCCCCTGTTTGGAGAGTATCGTGGTCGCTAACAGGAAACCTACTGGCTGTGGCAGATGGGAATAATAATGTGACATTATGGAATGAAGCAGTAGATGGTGAATGGCAACTAGTGACTTCAGTAGATGCATAAAGTTCAACACATATTTCAGTATCTCCCTTAAGCCCATATTATTGCTGCATATTCATTAACTTTTGGGGGTTATATCATATTAATATAACTAGCTCTTTTGCAATGCATAAATGAATAAGGAAACTTGAAGTTGTTCATGAATTGTCGATTATCATAAAATGGATTTTGCTTCATCATATCAATGTGCTATATAACATCACGATCAATGTGGTGTTTGACGGAAGAACAGATATGAACTATCTTATCCATTGTCTTAATATCTATAGTGCTAACGCTTCGATAGTTGGGGGTGTTTGCCCAATTGTATACTTTACGCCTTATGCTTTTCACTCCATCTCTAAGATGCCCGGTATACGTTTTACGCCTTGAATTATCGACAATGTACATAAGCACCCAAACCTGTATCATTGCGAAAAATGGATACAAAAGTCTTAGGACCCGGTTGCCCATATAAAAGATTTCCTTTTTTCGATTTTTTCTTTTCAACACTTGTTTAGTTATTGGGCTGAATTTTTGAATTTTTTTGAAGATGATTTTCCAAGTTTGAAAAAGTGGGTTTTACTACTTTTTCATGTAAAATTTCATTTTCCTCACAAAATTATAATAAAGTAAATATACGTCCAAATATAATTTCAAATTTCAAATATTCTTTTTTAACTTAATTCAAAAATTACTTCTGTTTCTTCCAAAAACCACATATTTTGTGTCCAAACGCCTGATTAGACAGACAATTGGATCGAGTAACGAGATTGAAGAAATGAAAGAGGCATCTTTCTATATCCTAACTTAAACATCTACAGCTTGTGTCAAGTGTCAACTATTTCTGATTGCTTCTTTATACCGTTGGTTTGCTGTATATTTACTGAAATTGCCTGTGGACAAATTAGTTGATGTTTTTAGTCCAGCCGGTCATTCCATAAATTGTGATTAAATTGTTAGGGAAGCATGAAATTTTATATCTAAGTTATTCACTAAATTACTCCTGTTAAGTATCCTTTTTCAGATTTGTTTTTTTCTATTTGTGGGAGCGGGGTGGAGAAAGGAGGACACTGAAAATCAAGTCCACACTTATTTGCGAGTCTAACACTAAACTACAAAACCTTTGTCATTCTCGTAAAATGTCTAAGAAAATTAGGAGAACGCCCTAATTTGGGTTAAGGAGCCTGCGTCAAGTCGTCAATATAGGGAAATCGTCATTATACAGCAGGTTGCCATTGTCTGTCTTTGTATTTAGATGTTGGCCATTAGACCCGTAGCCTAAAAATTATTTTTGAATATTGAACTTCATGTTAGGTGGGCCCTTTTGGTAAAAATTGCATGGGTCACCCTATTTGGTCGCCCTCATTTAACTTATACCCATATTTTTTAAATTATTTAATTTATACCCTAATTTTGACAACTTCAGATCCTGCGACCTATGCGCTCCTTTCTTCCTCCTCTTCTTTTCCTCTTCTTCTTGTTTTTTCTCTCAAACAGGTTATCCTGTAAGTTACACATGTTATCGTTTCTGGAAATTGGACAAAGCGACAAATCAAGAAGAAAGAAAGACTCGCTACTGCCTCTCAAACATTAATACATCCCAACACAAAGTACGTAAATAATAAAATAAGAGTTTATTGTCAATATTCGAAGAAGCATCAACTGAAGTTTGGGACTGTAGGGACAAACTTCAGACATTACCAGGTTAAATTTTGTCTGAAGTTTGCAACTATCATGCCAGGAAAAATTATCTGAAGTTCAAATATAACAACCTGATTTTGTCTGAAATTTGCACCTCAACACACAGTACGTAAATAATAAAACAAGAGTTTATTATCAAAACTCAAAGAAGCATCAACTGAAGTTTGGGACTGCAGGACCAAATTTCAGACATTACCAAGTTAAGTTTTGTCTAAAGTTTGCAACTATCATGCGAGGAAAAATTATTTAAAGTTCAAATATAACAAGCTGATTTTGTCTTAAGTTTGCACTACAAACTGAAGAACTTCAGACTAATTTGTTTGAAGTTTGCACTACGAACTGAAGTTTTTCTTATTGCTTTTGCAAGTCAGGCCAAACTTCAGACGAAAATATCTGAAATTTTACTTTGATAAGGTCACACTTCAGGCAAAAAATTCTGAAGTTCAAACTTCAGACATAAATTCTTGCTACTTCAGGCCCCGTATGTTTGAAATTATCCGAAAAGTGGGTACGCTTGCAATTTTTTTTGCAAAGCGGGTATAAGTTAAATTGTGACCCAAAAACTTAGTATAGATGCAAATCCCCCCTTGAACTTCAAACAACTGCTCTAATTTAAAAATGTGATCAAATTCTAAATAAAAGGCCGAAAATTTGGCTATTTAAATCAGCCTAGTTCAGCGAGGCTGGCCTATGTCTTTTCCTAATGGACATTTCAGCTTCCTTCAATTCAATGAGCAACTACAGCCTAAAATGGTTGGGCCTTCGGGGAACCTATTTGGGCTGATTTAAATCGGTAGAAATGACACCGGATAGCCACTCTAAAGGGCTGCTATTTAGAAATTAGCCAATGTGTCATGAATTTCAGTTTTCCGTTCAGTTTATCGGGACAAAATGTCATGAATAGTCCTGAATTTGAGATTTTTATTTCAAATTTTCAGGATAAAACAAGTATTGACTAATCTCTAAATAGCAGCCCTAAAATGATTGTTTGTGTATATCCCGAGAATGTACAAATATTACTGATCATGAATCCAGGATTATGATACTTGTAATTGTAAAGGATCAAGGATTAATCTACCTAAAGGCTCCTTTCATAACGTGTGATGGTAATATCAATATAATTCTCAGAAGATATTATAATTACTTTGAACTAAACCAAAAAGAAAAAGGTATAACATGAAAAAACAATAATTGAGGGAGCATTGTAGTAATTGATTACTGAGCACAAAGACAATCTTAAAGCCAATTATCAAGGGGAACGGCACGTGCATTGTTAAGCATCCACGTGATGACCTTACACGTGCAACCATATTTGCTTTGTTGACGCACGTGTGAGAAGCAACTAAGAAAAAAGAGACGACTCTTATTACTTAGAAGAGTTCGTGAGAAACCGAAGACCTAAGCCCACAAACAATGGGTTTACCTCAAATATCCAGCTATCTAAGCAGTCTAGCTAGTCTTATAAATGAGCATTTTACTTTAAAAACAAATACTTCCTCTAGTCCTTTTTATTGGTTGTGTATACGGGTAGAACCGGTCTCATAGTACATCCCGGTCTCCGACATGATAAGCCAAACTCGAGGTATGGTAACAGGGGAGCTTAGATCGAGGTAGAGATCTCATAAATTTGGAGTCCGTACCAAAACGCCCGCCCTCGAGGATGTCGGGGTCGCGATTCGGGATCGGTCCCTAGCCTCGATTAACTTCGAAGAACGTTGTCAAGTAGTCAAGTTCGGCCAACAGAAGGCCGTGATATCCGTGACCGACCGAATATCACGGCGGAGATCTCGGCACATATCGATAAGAGATCGGCAATCAGTTAATTAGAGTATTTTTGCCTTTTATAGAGTTGTACCTAATGTAAGACTCTCCTACTATATTAAGGGGGTCTAATTACTTGTAAAGGACATGGTAACACACATTCCAAAGCAATACATTATTATTCTCTTTAAGCTTTTATCCTTATGTGTCTTGATATCGATCGAAGTACAATCAGCTCGAGGGTGGCCGACCTTCCAAGGCTAAAATTATCTAATTCGTGTGGTTTGCATTAACTTTATCATTATATATTTCAATTGCAATCTAATTTATTATTTGTATCAAGTTAATCCACGTATCCTTAAAACCACTTACAAATTTAATTGTTAGCTGATTTTGAGGGTAAACAATTTAGCGCCCGCCGTGGAGCTAAGGATAATAGTGGTTATTTGATACAAATCTATATAACACATACACTACTTTACACTTTTTCTTTGTAGTGTCTCCGATTTCAGGTTAAAACTCAAAATCTCGAACTCTCAATCAGCACCCCTACATGTTGACAACGAGTCTGGTCATCACGGTAAAAATAACATAGCGCCCGGTAATGAGGTACCGCTCGTTGATCCCATCGGAATTCTGGTCGCATACCTAATTGATGCTAATTCACATATGGCTATCAACACAAACCTGCCTACCGACCCCGAGAATAGAGTTCGTGGTGAAACCTGATCGGCAGCTCAAAATACACAAAACATTGGAGGAGACATGATTAGTCTACGGGTGATCTTCGAAATGTTGCAGGCTCAACAGGCGGCGATAGCTCAGTTACAGAACCACAGCCCTGCACCGAGCAGAATCGAACCCGATCTGTCCCGGGAAATCACCCACAGGGATGAACCGGTCGCAGAGAGGTCGAATGAAAATGAATCAGGGACTAACCCCGAGATTATAAAGATGCTCGAGGAACTGACCAAACGAGTAGAATCAGGGGAGAAAAAAATCAAAGCTAATGACAAAAAGGTGGAAACCTACAATTTCAGGATCGACCAAATCCTAGGAGTACCGCCGATATTGAAAGGCCTGGATTCCAAGAAGTTCGTGCAAAAACCTTTTTCTCCGAGCGCATCTCCAAAGTCGATCCCTAAGAAGTTCTGCATGCCCGAGATTTCTAAGTACAACGGAACGACCGACCCAAATGAGCATGTAACCTCCTACACATGTGTCATCAAAGGGAACGACTTGGAGAATGATGAGATCGAGTCTGTCTTGTTGAAGAAGTTCGGAGAGACCCTGTCAAAAGGAGCCATGGTATGGTACCATAACCTACCTCCTAATTCTATTGACTAGTTTGCTATCAAGGTCGAGACCAGGAAGTCAGACCTCTTCAAAGTAAAACAGATGGATAATGAAATGCTCAGAGAGTTTATGTCCCGATTTAAAATGGAGAGAATGGACTTACCCCAGTTGCGGACGATTGGGCGGTTCAAGCTTTCACCCAGGGACTCAATGTTCAAAGCTCGGTGGCTTCACAGCAGTTGAAACAAAACCTGATAGAATATCTGGCCGTTACTTGGGCCGACATGCACAACCTATATGAATAAAAAATCAGAGTCGAAGATGATCAATCTGGGGCCCCTTCGGGGTCCGTTTATCCCGTTAGAGCCGTCGATAGAACCAAGAGAGACATTGATCGTGAACCGAGACCAAGCAGGGATCGTTATCAACCGTACAATGAGGATCTAAGAGGTAACGTATCCGGGAGAAATCCCATAAGAAGTGAAAGGAGAAGTGATCGAGGTCAAAGTAACCAGGGACTCATGGGCAAGAATGGTTTCGACGGG